TTTACACAGCTAGAATTTCTTATTAAAGCATCCTATTGTTTTATTATCGTGTCATTTTTAACTACAAAAGCTGATTTATACTTCATATATTAAGTATAAAGTATTAAGTGTATTAAGTACATGCTTTTATGAGGTGTTATAGGTACAAAAATACTTAAAATGGGTAACTTTAAGCATTTATGTGGCTGTTACACCTTATAAAAGCATCATGTCCTTTTAATTTAATGGCCAACAGCACAAACAGGCTGAACAACACTGTAGCACAGGTATGTACTGTTTAATTTAACAAACAACTTGCTTAACAACATGAATAATAAAGTTGAGACAAATGAATCAACCTGCAATAAAATGTGATTTTTCAAGCTACTCCCCAAGTTTGAGCCTCTGTGTTGTGTTACTTTTCAGTGCATGTCACTGGCCACAGATCCCTAAGCCCTGAGACCCCAGCACAGTTATCTATTTCAGGCGGCTGCACCTGCTGTTCACACATCCCTTTCTGGAAAGCGAAAGATATTTAGGATTTGACAGCCAGGAAGAAAATCTCTCCACATTGCACTTGTTCAGTAACGCAATTACTCATGTTTTCAAATGAGAGAAATATATAAAACCTTACTTTGAGGCAACACAACTCAAAATTTCACACACTGCTGTATTTAAAAATTGCTAAATTTCTTTCTCTCTCTTAATCATAGCACATGCTTACAACAAAGAACACTAAAAGGAGTTTATTGATTGTCAGAATGTGAAAAAAAAAAAGTCTGAAAATTGATACTGGTATTTACACTACTATACATCTATTGTAGTGTTGGAGCACCCTGACTCAAGTTAAATTTTCATTTATGGTGAATTCTGAAAAAAACAACAATAATTTAAACTAAAAACATAAATCAATAATGAATAAAGTTACTAAAGCTTGTTGGTATTAATAGTCCAGTACAGCGATGCAGCTCTAACACTGTAATTCTACGTTTTCTTTTTTTAAATTACTCAGTTTTAGCATGACTTTAAGATAATTATAACATAATATCATATTAACATAAAAATACAGTCTTATTATTGTCAATTAATTTTATGATCTGATCACAGTCTTTTCATATCTTTAGCCTTTGGCATAGTCAAGTCAAGTCTGTCATTTCCAACCTTAAAGCAAAAAATACTGTACATCTTGGAGACGACCTTAAAGACCGTTCAGCAAAATATTATAGAGCCTTCATAAACTGACAGTCCTACGGGAACCCTGCAGGATCACAACAGCAGTTTTGATCAGGGCAGCTATTATGCATTTCCCCTCAATGTAGTAATATACCTACACTCACTAGTCATTTTATTAGGTACACCCTACTTCAGTTATCAGTTTGCGCCCCCTTTTGCCTTGAGGACTGCCCTAATTCTTCATGTA